ATAATAATAAAAGAAATATAAAATAAGTGATGCACAATGCAATTGGTCACCACCTGCTGACCAATACCCAGCCAGTTTCCAAGCAGTGGTTGCCACCCCGCTGGCCAACTCCCCCCAGTTTATATACTGAGGATGATGTCATATGGTATGGAATAGCCCTTTGGCCAGTTTGGGTCAGCTGTCCTGGCTGTGCCCTCTCCCTCCCTTCTCGTTGGCAGGGCACGAGAAGCTGAAAAGTCCTTGACTAGTGTAAGCACTACTTAGCAACAACTAAAACATCAGTGTGTTATCAACATTATTCTCATACTAACTCCAAAACACAGCACTATGCCAGCTACTAGGAAGAAAATTAGTTCTATCCCAGCTGAAACCAGGACAACGTTGTGCAGATATCTGCTGAGAATATCGAGGCGTATTTATGGGTGCCCTCTCCCACTTAGTTGGAGAAAGCAATCTATTTGACTTAAACTCCCTTACAATTTCTGTCACACAGATAACTGTTTAAGTTTGTCATTTAAAGCAAATCATGGAGTGTGTGTCTGTGTTGAAACATGTGCATCCTCAAGAAGTGCCAGGGATGCCTCTGTACACAAGAGGGTGCAAAAAAGAGGGAGCCAGGCTCTTTTCAGTGGTGCCCAGTGACAGGACCAGAGGCAATGGGCACAAACTGAAACACAGGAGGTTCCCTCTGAACATCAGGAAACGCTTTTGACTGTGTCCAAGCATTGGCACAGGTTGCCCAGGGAAGTTGTGGCATCTCCATCCTTGGAGATATTCAAAAGCTATCTGGACATGGTCCTGGGCAACCTACTCCAGGTGACCCTGCTTGAGCAGGGGAATTGGACCAGATGACCTCTAGAGGTCACTTCCAACCTTAACCATGCTGTGATTCTGTGATTCCCCTACTAAAGAAGTCTGCAGATGGCCAAATGTCGTGGCTTGTCCTTGCTAGTGGAGTTTCATAATCGGGGGTGGGAATATAGTTTGCCTATGAACATGTTATTAACTGGAATGTTTTTCCAGATGATAACGATTTCATATCAAGAACTCACACCTGAGTTATAGAATCAACTAGAAGAGTGTGCATTTTCATTTGGATTCAGGGAGCTGCTTGATTTCCATATGTTTTGCTTTTGTCCACAACTTGTTTCTGCATTTCTTTCCTGTTAGTTTCTGGAAATATTTACCCCTTTTCTTAGCACTTGTGGATTCTATAGGTTACAGAAAACTACCAGGGAAAATTGTGTTCTAAAACATACCAGGGCATAATTTATCAGGGAGACTGAGGGGATTAAAACTTGCTGGAGCCCGGTGCTTTCTGCCTGTCACTTTGTGCCTGTGTGGCAGGGAGGGAGCAAGGAAAGATGCTGTGTTACAAACAGGCATGGTTTCACTTCTGAAGCTCTGCTGTTTCATTCTTTTGCATAGGTCTCAGGGGAGCCATGGCGTTTGCTCTGGCTATACGAGATACTGCTACCTACTCACATCAAATGATATTCTCAACAACTCTCCTCATCGTCTTTTTCACTGTGTGGATTGTCGGTGGAGGTACAACTCCCATGCTGTCATGGCTGAACATCAGGTCGGTATGCAACTGTATGCTGGGGAAACTTCACTTTTCTGGTATTTAGAACGTTGTTTTATAGAGGAAGGTGCTATGCAGGCTGGTGAAGAAAATGTACTGATGCTGCTGGGATTCAGCCTAAAGCTCTCTGATGCTTTACAAGTTAGGTATGTAGGCCCTTGTCAGCCTAGTAGGATATGGAATAGTGCTGCCTGATACAGCAGCCCCTACATGGAAAAGAAAGAATTAATCTATCTAGTCCCATGTAAACTTCTCTTCCTATTGTACTAAGACATTTCCTTGCCTTTCGGCTCTTGGTAATGGTCCTGTTGTGTTTTTAAGTTAAATGGAGTCTTTAGTGGGTGGTGCTAAACTGATGCACTATCTATCCAATGCACATCTATCCAAACAAACCTGATGTTATCTAAACGACTGGTATAAATGGGATCCTGCTAGTGTTCTGGGTGTGTTTCCTCCTGTTTTGAGGAGACCTGTGAAAATGGTAAGTAGCATGATTATATTTGTCTGTAAATCCTGGCCAATACTTAGTACTTTCAGGCTGCAAGTACATTCATGTTTAAGGATATTTATCAACAGAAGTGCTAGAGAATCGTGAATCAATCATTGTTAAAGACCATGTGTGTTATCATTCTGTGAAAGTTTTGGCAGTTGCGGGGGGCAAAGGTAAATAGAGTGAAATTAAAACAATACACGCTGTACAAACTCTTCAGTGCATTTTTCATATGTAAATTATTTGTGCTCTTTGGCACTTGAAAGCTTACTTTGTCTTGCTTTCTAATTGTGCTAACCAGAATTTGTATCCCATTGTCTTGTGCTAGGATAGGAAAAAACAATCTTGGGGCAAAACCAGTTTCAGTCTGTGGAAGAACTGATCATTCTGAGGGACTGGTGCTGCTTTTGGAAAACTTAAGTGAACTGCTTGTGGCAATAGGTAGCAGGTGCTTCCTAGGTTGGCAAAAAAAAAAAAAAAAATCAATAAGACTCACAGAAATGATTGTGAACCCTTCTCATTGAAGGTAGCATGGAGACAGGCATGACAGCAGTGATTTACAGTATCTCAGGTCTGACTAACAGCAAACATTGGGAAATCATGGTTTCCTTTTTTTGGTGCCAAAAGAGTCCATTTCTGTCCTTTAAAACTGTCTTTAAAATGCAGGTTCCAAATGTTTGGCTAGCACACCAGAAAGAAGCATCACTTCCACATAGTCAGGCTCTCTGAAGGTCACATTGCTAACAGCAGGTAATGCAACACCTGGTGTGGTCAACAGCAAAAACAATTCCAGTGCAGTTGTGTCATTAATGATCATGAGATACTATATCATAGCGATGTTTCTAAGCCCAGCCTGACTGGTTTCGGTTCCCACGTGAGAGGTGTGTGACGACTTTAAAAACGTACCTAGAATAGGTGCCATGTGCAGCTTTCTGGTTGGCACTTCTGACAACAGAAGGAGATGTTTGTCTGATGGTGGTATATAAGGAACAAATGCACTAATACACCTCCACAAGCAGGGCAGGCAGTGTCTGCGTAACCGGCAGCGTGCATAGACTGTCTGAGGTGTGGGGTACAAGGGAGCAGGAGATGAGTTTTGGCCAGCAGTACACAGGTAAGAATGCTGCTTGCAGTCTGCTTCCAATGGCTGAGTGAAGTCTGCCAAAATCTGCCTGCAGCCTCTGCAATGGCCGATGTGAGGATATCCCTTGTCTGATCTCCACTCAAGTGGATTCCAAAGCATCTTCTGAAGCGTGGCTGCAACCAGGTCAACAAAACTGACTCGTTAACAGCTCTCATCATAGGTGCTGGCATCCTGAGCCTTCTGCCCTGCTGCCTGCACTTCTTTTGTTGAGGGAGCATAGCTGGGTATTTCCTTCAAACCTTGTCATCCAGCAAGGGACAGGATGTGCTGCTGAACAACTAAGTGAAGAGGAATTGTGTTCAGTCTGCCTGTATCGGAAGGCAGCTTCTGAGTGTAGTCAACCGTTATCTCTTCCACAGAGCTCCTTCAGTTGTCAGCAGTAGGACAGGACTGAATTCTAGCATGTGGCCCACCTCCTGGCCAGCTGGAAACTAGTTCTGAGGTAGCAGCTTTCTCTTTCTTCCCCCCTCCCCATCGAGCCTAGGAACCAGTTTGTGGAAGCATCCAAGATTATGAACTTCTTTAGCAGGACTAATCTGATTCAGTAATGAAACTCCATGAGCCTGGCTGATGAGTTGCTCCCGAATGGAGAAAAAGCTAACACCATATCCATTCCCGGCTTGCCCTTCTGGTAGGCTATACTTGCAAAAATTATTAATGTGGCCAACAAGGCAGAACAGCTGGAGAAGCTATGATACCATTCCTAGAGGAGTAGCTGCCAAAAGGCAGTTGGCCAAACCATAGTTTTGAGTGTTTAGCTGTATTTCTGGGGGAGATTTGCCCACCCTTGCTAGTAAGCAGTAATTTTAACTGTCATTTGTTTAGCATGGTTGACAGAAAATAAATGGTTAACTTCCCTATTAAGGGAAGGATCTCATGTAAACAAGGGAACTCTACATAGGAAGTGTTTTAGAGAACTGCATGGGTCTGCCTACAGTTGCCTTGATAGGCACTGCGCTATTAATGATGGAACTGCTCTATTAATGATGGAGACCGCACTTTTTGAGACCACATGAAATCAGGTTTGTGCCAGGAGGTGGCAGCCGTGTGCAGCTGATCGAGAATTCGGAAATTGGTGCTGGTAAAGTACCCTCTGTGATAGAGCCCTTTCTGCTGGAAAGCAAGAAGTCTGACGTTACAGATTTAAGAAAGGGACAAATTCGTTTCCCACTGAATTTTAGAAATATGCTGCTTTTCTCTTTTCCATCCCTTTCTACCCAGTGGAAGAGGCAAGCAGGAGGAGATGAAGATGAGATGCTGTCCCAGTGCCTTGCTCAGCAGCACGGTGTATAGTGATGCAGTCCTGAGGCTGTGCAGGAGGCAAATTGTCCCCAGGGTGGCCTGGGATGCTTTCTGAGCCTTGGCACTTGCCCACTAGGTTAGATTGCAAGAGGCTGGAAATAAGTAGTGCTCCCACACAGGGTTATCTGGCAGAAAAGAGCTTAAAAGATAAAAGGTGGTTTGCTTCCTAGATTAAGTGAAGGGACACAGAAAACTAATGCCATTTGTGTGTTGGACTTAAATGTCAGGATTTGTGTGGACTCCCTAAGAGTCCATCTCTGGTGGGAAGTTCACACCAGTTGTATCCTGGTTGACTTTGGCCTTTGTGGAAGGAAAGCCAGTCAGCCATTACAAAGTCCTCATGAAGTAGTTGGCCTTGCTGCAGTGCGGAGGTGAGGAGAAGACAAGGGCCTGCTTTAACAAAGAGTCAACCAAGCTGACTGACCCTTTAGGCTGGTTTAACTTGCCTGGTCATTGTGTGGCAGAGTGGTGTTACTGTAATTCTGTGGGTACTGGTCTGCCCATCAGTGGGGTTTCTGGGTGGTCCCTTCAATAGTTCCTGCGGGCTGCGATGGGCTGACCTTCTTCCCTAGGAACCGCAGGCGCATGTGTGTTGTACCGGGCAACTCAGAGGAGCTAAGAGAGACGTCAACACCAAAGGGTTTTAGTTAAGGTTGTGCCTGTGCGATTTAAGTAGAACAGTACCAGAAAGCTGACTCCAGCCAAGACTTTCAGTTTGGCTCGATACCACTACATTCATGGGGAGGCAGTTGCGTCCACGCATAGGGCAATGCCTACACAAGGATCCAGAATTACTTTGCAGCACATGCCTCTGGCTGCACCGTTAATTGCATAGCAATTGGGATGCACGCTTTGTTCTTTAACTCGGGTGGTCCCTGCTCTCCCGTGATGTGAAATGTATTAAAAGTAGGTGAGAGATGGAGAGGCTAACATGAAAATTAAGTTTTGGTAAAGTAAAAAGCAGTGTAAGGAAGAAAATAGGCAAAAATGCCCTCTGCCTCCCCTTGCTCTGCTCTGAATGTCTCAGGTGATCAGAAGAGCAGGTATCTTTCCAGATAGGGTATGTTACCAGTGTACCGGGGTCTGCTGATCACACTTAAATGCACAGCTAAGCAGAGGACCTATGGTTTGAAGCAGAGACTTAACTTTAGTTTACTGCTTAACTGGCTGGGAAAGTGAAGTCATGGCAGCAAAATCTGAGTGAAAAATAAGGGGATCTTTAGATGCTTTTGGTTTCTGCCACTTGAAGCTAAGCAAGTTAAAAATTAACGCCAGAAACTGGAGTTAAAACCATGATGTCATGTGTTTGAATTTCTTGGCTGTCTATCAGTGAGACGTATCCAAGCATTTGAGTGGTAAACAGTTATACTTTTCTAGCAGTAGTTTATTTTTTTTCTTAGAAACTAAAGCATGACTTGGATATTAAAAATATGGTTTCATCCTTTGAGACTAAAACAAAGAAACAGTTTCCTGCCTGAAGTTTTAACAATTTCAACAAGCTCGAGAGCCCTGTAAATCAAAACCACTGGCAAAGTTCCTCTTTTCAGAAAAGTAGCTGACTTATCGTTTTATTTATCTCTCACAGGAAAAAAGGGAACTCCTAGCATTTGTATTGCAAAATAATGTTTTTTCCATTTTTCATTGGAGGTTATTGGCCTGGTTCTTTTCTTGTTGAATGAAGCAACATGTAGATTAATGCCTTCCTCTCCTTCATAATCTGCTTTAAATGAGGAAGTTTGTGTTTATTTTAATGAAGTAATTTCAGTTATACTTAGCAACCTTTTTCTAAATCTTAAAGTATTATATCTTTCAATTTAAAATACTTTAGGTATCTTTCTACCATAAAAGTTAAAGGTTGCACAGACAATGTCAACTTAGATATTTACTGTCGTATGTCTGACTTTGCAAATACAATCTTTTTAAGAGCTTTCTATTTAGTGATTTTTTTTTTTTAATATCTTCTTTCTTTAAATGAGCAAACTGAAAAAGAAATATGGAAACACTAACTCTCACATAGCTGCTATGTGAACTACCTAACTATCTGGGATGGTGGTAAAACTG